AGCCAGACCGAACTTCCCCGAACTCAAACCTTGTGGGCGGGACTAAGTTCGGACTGGCACCCAGGCTAGCCTTTACGCTGCTGATTGGTCTCTCAGTTAAAAAAAAACATGGAATGGTCAATAAAAAAAATAAATAAACTTGCAAAATTACTAAAATAAACAGAAAAGTCATAACATTTATGTGAAGTTTCTGTCTTTCATTTTTATTGGCGTTGTTCTTTAAATAGCACCACCTAGAGGACATCAGTAAATATTACTGAGGGGAAGAAATGGAAGCAGGCAGGAAATGAAAAAATAGGAATTTAAGAAATAAAAGTTAAAGAAAATAAAAAAGACTGCACAGAAATGTATGACTTTGTATCGTATTAAACTAAGACCTTAGAACTGTCATAGATATTTCTTATACTTACAGATGATACATTTATTTTATGATGATTAATTTCATGTTTATAGTCATTAATTCTAAAGTTTTAATCCAACTCATCTTCCTGTATTTTTATGTTCTGCTAGTTTTAAACATAGTCAGTCTGCAGCTGAGATTTAAGGAAACAAATCAAGTAAAAACAATAAAACTTGTAGGGAGATTATAAATTAAACATATAGATTAAAAAAAATCTGATTTAGATTCGATCCAGAGAAGCTGAAATCAAAGTTCCACCTGCTGCCAGGAGGGGGAGCTGTCTGGTACTCCGCCGTCATGGTGACTCTGCCTCCTCCCTGCAGTCTGGATCTGAATTCCTGGGATGTTTGAGTGTGTGACATCACTTCCTGCTCTGAGTGCTTCCAGATGTGTGGCCTGACTGTGCTTCCTGTGTGCAGACGGTGGAGAGCGAGGAGGGTCTGGGTCACGTCCTGCAGCAGATGGGCGTCACGAGCGGCGAGAACATCTCCTTCGAAGACGTCTGGACGCTGATCAACAAACAGGCTGTGCAGGTCTTCAAAAACACGCCCCCAGAGAAGGGCGTCAAGTGTAACTGCCTGCTGCAGTAACACCTGCACTGACCTGACCACAGGGGGCGCTGTAGGACCGCAGTCAGACATGATGACTGATAGAAAAAAGAAATCCACTAATTGTTTGTTTTTCCTTCAAACTTAAGCTTGTTTTATTCTGATCTTTAATGTGAATTATCAGAATCCATGATGACAGAAAGGAAGCAGATCATCTGGAATTTTTTATCTAGATCCGCTAATCCATGCAGGCTCTCAGGGGGCGAGGCTTAATGAGACTAATGATCTCGGGTTTTATGTCTCCTGTGCAACACAGGACACATAACCTGTACCATAACCCTGCACACCAACACAAACCCAGACATTTAAATAAAAAATAAAAAACAGTTAACCAAACAGCCGGAGTACCCGGTGAGACGCCGCGGAGACAAAACACAAACACACCAAGCAAGGATGGAAACTCTTCTGCCTGCGAGGCAACAGCTCAGGATCCGACCGGAAATAAACGAGGGATAAAATAAAAACAATCAGAAAAAATGATCATTTAAACAGTTTAGAAAAGTGAAGTTAAGCAGATTAATATTAAAATAAATTTCCTTCTGAAGAATCGGTTCAGATTTCTGGGGAAATTAGAAATGTTCCAAAAATAAAATGATTAGTGGCTCAGCTGTTTATGCAGGAAGAACAAATGGGACTTTATTAGAACTAATATCTGTAATTGGGAGCATCTACTTGTTAAAAAATGCTAAAAATGTTTTATTTTAAATAATTTTATAATGTGTTATTTTAGTAAATGTCATCATGGTAATAATATTATTAGGTCACGTTTGAGCCTCCATATTTCAGCTGAAAGACAATCAGTTTATTTTTTTAGCAGAAATATTTCGGAATCTTTTTTTTTACCCTTTTTTAAGCTGCATAAAAACAGAATGTGCGATTTCTTTCCTCGGCATCGGGGGTGAGGGATTTACATTTAGTCAATACTAGGCAGCTGCCTAGGGCCCCAAGTTCCCTGGGGTCCAATAAAACTCTGCTTCCATGTATGGTTTATACAAGTATTCCTTATTTCTGCACATTAATTATGTTTTTGATAAAAATACTTTGGCTAAAATGTCATCAGAACGCTGATAATATTAA